GTTTCGGGCCTAGACCCTTCAAGGGTCTAGGCCCGAAACGTCAGCCTCTCTGCTCCTATGATGCTGCTTGGCCTGCTGTGTTCATCCAGCCCTGCACTTTGTTGTCTCGGATTCACCAGCATCTGCAGTTCCTATTACCCAGGAATGAGGCCTTTGTTTTTCCAGACAGAACGAATGCTTTGCCCCAGTGCAATTAGTTCTGCACATGGTTTGGGTCATGGGTGAGAGACACCATTGGTCTTCGTGAGCTACTGCTGAAATTAATCATCTTAAAAATCATGCCACCTAGCAGCAGAAAGCACTAAAATTCCCAGCTGCGTGGATATCATCTGTACATTGGAGATTTTTGAGAGCTTCCCTTCTTCCTAGTTATTGGTCTAACCCCATCTCAGTGCAGCAACAAACCAAACTGATAATAGGCAGCACCTCAAAGTATTGTGAGCCTGTGCAGATATATAAGCGCTTGGTTTATGCTGGAGGGTCAGCATTGTTCTGGTCCAAGAGGCTCAGCTCATCCTTAACCAGGGTGGTCGTTTTCATTGCAATGGCATAACGAAACTGCTACTTTTAGTTTGTTCTCTCTCTTTCGGCTGCCAGTTATGTGCACAATTTTAACTATTCAAGTATCTTTGCTGGAATTTGCGCATTAAACGTTTTAGATATTTGTTTTGTGCATTACTTATCTGGATTTTTTCTTAAGTATTTGAAACGACATTCTACTTTTCTCTCTCTCAGCTGACGGGTACAGCAGTTCAGATTCGTTTGTTTCAGAGTCTGATCAGATCGGAAACAGCATAACTCGGCAGCGGTAAGTGGTAGCTTCTCTGGGGAGTTCCAGGATTGTGGTTTAATAAAACTAAATTACTGTGCGGAGGGAAGTATATTATGATTAATATGTTCTCTCGAGTTTTTTTTAAAATAAAAACTGTAATGGACTTAATTCAGTGGAAGAAGCAACTGATCACAGGGGTGAACGCATACTGAGAACATGTTCATGCTCTTCACAGCTCACATTCAGGCACTTCGCCAGACAATACTCTCAAGACTGCTGCACCCCCTCCACCACCTCCAAGACCCCAGCCTTCGCATTCAAGATCGTCATCTCTAGATATGAACAAAACGTTTTCTGCCAGCAACACAGGTGGGGAGCCTTTTTTTATGGCAAAGACATTTTTTTTCCAAATCAACCGAAATATTTAAAATGTTTGGTGAGCCTGGCCACTGATACAGAAATTACTGTTTAAACTTCTTCGGTTGTGGCATTTCTATTGGAATCTGTTATCAGTGTGAAGGTGCAAGTGAAATGATTTTGAAAATATCTAGTGATTGCTTTGCTTTTTTTTATTTCATCCCCCCCCCCCCCCGTCCCAAAACCACCGTAACTCCTGTTCTGAAGGACAACCGCAAGCAGGAATTGTTGCCTGTCCCCCTGCAGTGCCTCCAAGACCTCAGCCCACACAGGTAATTCAATATGCTCCATTGGACTGAACTATGAAGGGATCATGTTAGGTGTGTAGAATGTATTGAACTTATCAGAGACTCACTAGCCTATATGAGGATGTTCAAAAACTGACCCAAGATGACCGGGAATTGGTAGGAATAATCCAGGCTTGAGACAAGTGCCAGCATTATACCATATTCCACCTGACTGATTTTTCTCTGCGTGCGTTAAAAGTTTTTTAAAAAATTACTGCCACTGAATCATTTAGTCACATTTGACAACATTTAATCAAGTGTAATTGTTTTTCAGTAATTTGTACAAATCGTTCTGATATGAACATTCATTCACAATTACAGAAAATGCATTGTAGATTTTGGAAGTTTTAAACTGGTATTTGATTATTTTGAGCAAATATTGACTGTTTTCCTACAACTTTGCCTCATTGCTGGTTTTACAATTAAATTCAATGCGCAAAGGCCTAATTTTTCATTGAAATATATCCGTTCGGTGGTTCTACCTTTCTTGTCTAGGTCACTGTGCCTCCAATACATCGCCCAGCAGAGGCTGATAGCCATGCAGTACGTGCCAGCACCTCACCTCATCAGATTCCAGAGCAGCCCAATTTTGCCGATTTCCGGCAATTTGAAGCATTCGTGTCCAAGGGTACAGAGCAGCAAATGGATGACTCGGGCAAGCTTCCTGAAACTGTTCCGGTGAGCGATGTTTGAGCTTTGTCATGGTTATGGCTGATATGTCATTGGTCTACCTATTTGTGATTTAAGTTGGTTTTTCAATCAACTTTTAAATGTATTTCCTTAGGCTGAAAAACCTTCAGATTCAGCAGGGACCCTCAGAACAGCAAAACTAGATGGTTCTAGTGACGAAAAGCCAACTGGAAACACAGTACGTAGAGTCCTTTATTAAACTGTTAATAATAAATGATTGAGCCTCCTTGGGGTGTCCTTACACTTAATTCTAAGTTACAGAAGAGCATTTTCACATGGATCAAGGTGGGTGGCTGTTCTTGGTAATAGGCACTGAAATAGTTTATGGAGTCCATTCCCAATTAATTTCTTTTTGCTGACCTGGGTGGGGGAAACAATAAATCAATGTCACATTATTAACTGCAAAAAAAAACTCTATTTAAAATGGAGAAGTCATTCCAATCTCTCAACTCCCTTAAAAAGGATATGTTGAAAACGACATGCCTGCAATTGTTCATCTGGACCTATTACAAGAGACCTGTAACCTGAATCTGCTTTAGGTTTCAACCAAATTTTTTGATTTTTCTCCTTGCTGTTTCTGGATTCATTTCAAAATTGCATGACATGAATTTTCATGTTTGCTTTTTCTTGAGTGCCCGAAAGTTTCTCTTCTGTTTGCATTTGGAAAAGGTCCAACCGTCTTGTGTTCTCACTGGCACTGCTTTAATGCACTGTCCAGGTCAATAAGTTAGATTTTCATATTAGTTTTACATGTTTCTCTCATTTAACAACAGTTTGCATTTATATAGCGACTTGAACATCAAAATGTCAAGTTGCTTCTGATGGGTTTAATGTGTTGATACTTGATAGAGATGTTTTAGGACAGCTGAACAAAAGCTTAGTCTTTCACGTAGAGGGTGGCCACTGTCTGGGAGGGCGGCTAGAGGTAGTGGTGGAAGTGAATACAATTTTGTCATTTAAGAAACATTTAGGCAAGTCCATGGATGGGATAGATTTGGAGGGATATGGACCAAACAGACAAATGAGACTAGTTTAATTGAAAACTAGGCAGTATGGGCAAGTTGGGCCGAACGGCCTGTTTCCATGCTGTAGACCTCTCTGGCTGCAGAAAAGCTTAGTCACGGGTCCTGAGGCAACTCCTAAAGGAGAAAGAAGAGCTAGAAAGGTTTAGGTGGTGAATTCTGGATCTTGAATGACCAAAACCACTGCTTAAGTGCTGAAAAATCAGCGATGCACAAGATAGTTTAAACTATCTGAAATGTTAAAGAAAGAGATGGGGGTTTGAGAACAAGGACAGGAATTCGTTAGATTAGGAGACAATGGAGGTTAGTGAGCATATGTGTTTGAATGAATGGTATGAATTTGAGTGGGCAGCAGTTTTAGGCATCAGAAGAAATGTCTGATTTCACCTATTTCAGTAAAATGCTTGTAATAGTCAAAAAACAGCTGACATTTCTAGAGCACTGCATGTTTACAGAGATACCACTGAGGACTCTGCAATGTAGAGGATAAAAATGAACATGCAGTTATGAGTCTGGGGGGTAAATGGAGGTAGAAATCACATCTAGCATTTGCCTACAGCCCATATTGAACCAAAACTGAATTAGGTATTTAACGTTACTCTGTAATTTTATCAATCTGACTTTTTTTTAAATTACAGGTTAAAAGTACATCATCTCTTGTCCCCCCTCCAAAGCCTATCCGCAGGAGATTGAAATCTGATGATGAGCTTCGTGCAGAACCAGAGGAACATACCCCAAAAACTAGTGTAATTAATACTGTGCTAGTTGCACAGTCATCAATTCCAAGGTAGATATAGTTCTATTTAATTCCCTTACCCACCCAGATTGCTCCTGTGATCTGTCAGTATAATATATTAGATCTAAGGAGACGTTGAAGCAATTGACTGTTCATTTTGGCTCATTAGGCTGTCTGCTTTCTTGGATAATCTTGATATTTAGTTGACGTCCAGCCTCTAACCTCTACTCCACCCCTCCAAATAGGAAGTGGCAGATCTCTGCTTGGCACTTGTTCAGTAGATTTGGGCTTCCAATGTTTTAATGATATGAGGCAGACAAGCATTTTGTCTGTTTTCACAACTGGATTTTCTGGAACATTTTTGCCAGAGGCTACAGTGAGGGCCAGCGGGGTGGGGGCATTTGACATGAATCAAGGCTGACCATTCTTGCTGTTTATTTTCCACTGGAGTGTAGGAGGTTGATGACCTTGTAAGGGGTTTATAAAATCATGAGGGGGCATAGATAGGGCGAATAGCAAAGATCTTTTCCCTAAGGAACAGGAGTTTGAAACTAGAGGGCATAATTTTAAGGTGAGAAGAGAAAGATTTAAACAGGACCTGAGGAGTAACTATTTTCAGAGGGTGGTTTGTATGTGGAATGAACTGCCAGAGGAAGTAATAGATGCAGGTACAGTGATAACACTTGAAAGACATTTGGATAAGTACATGAATAGAGAAGGTTTTGAGGAATATAGGCCAAACACAGGCAAATGGGACCAGTTTAGTTTGGGAAACTTGGTCAGCGTGGATGAGTTGGACGGAAGGGTCTGTTTCCATGCTGAGACAGTATGACTCATAACGCCTGTCAGGGGTGTACCATAAGGATTTATGGGTTAATACTACATGTTCAGCAGTGTAATGATAGCACCTTCCTTGGCCACCAAGAATGGGACTTGAACCAGATGTTTCTGGCTCAGAGGCAAGGGCATTAGCCACTACCCATTTCCACGATAATGGAGCCCCCACTTTCAGCTGATCAACTGGTTAAATTTATGGCTCCAAAGTTCCATTGCAATCGGTCCCTGCAAATGTGATATTAAGTAGAGCTAGAGGCTGTGTTTGATAACACTGTCTGTTCATCTGTGACTTGGGTTTAAACCAAGTCAGTGACCTGAAAATCTCTCACCTGCACCCACCTTTTCTAGCCTGTAAAGGCTGTAAAGATTCTGATTTGAATATTTTGATAATCTCAAACAGATTTGTTATTGGAATTAACCCTAATTGTGTTCAGTGATCAGTACATTCATGTTGCTGAAGCTGGGGACAAGGATGGTTAGTGGGGGAGTGGAAAGTCTTGCATTGGTGAGTCTGATTTAATTCCAGTCACCTGACTCTGGAACCTGACTGTCCTGGTGCAGAATGGCATCTTTATGTTCAATTCATATTAATCTTGTCAGATCCATGGACCATAAATAGCCTTTGGAAAGTGTTGATCATGACTTTAACTTTATTTGCATTGTGCTTGGAGCAGGAAAATTTAGATGTAGTTTAGATTTTCAGAATCCTGGTTTGGGCCTGGTAGTCTCTGATGTGGGACCAGACTAGCTAAATTGTAGCGCACAGGGAGCAAACACAACTTGCCAGTTTTTGTGATAACGAGGTGTAGAGCTGGATGAACACAGCAGGCCAAGCAGCATCATAGGAGCAGAGAGGCTGACGTTTCGGGCCTAGACCCTTCATCAGAAAAGGGGGAGGGGAAGGGGGTTTTGAAATAAATAGGGAGAGAGTGGGAGGCGGATAGAAGAGGGATAGAGGAGAGGATAGGTGGAGAGGAAACAAACAGGTCGAAGAGGCGGGGATGGAGCCAGTAAAGGTGAGTGTAGGTAGGGAGTTAGGAAGGGGATAGGTCAGTCCAGGGAGGACGGACAGGTCAAGGGGGCGGGATGAGGTTGGTCGGTAGGAGATGGAGGTGCGGCTTGAGGTGGGAGGAGGGGATAGGTGGGAGGAAGAACAGGTTAGGGAGGCAGGGACGAGCTGGACTGGTTTTGGGATGCGGTAGGGGGAGGGGAGATTTTGAAACTTGTGAAATCCACATTGATACCATTGGGCTGCAGGGTTCCCAAGCGGAATATGAGTTGCTGTTCCTGCAACCTTCGGGTGGCATCGTTGTGGCACTGCAGGAGGCCCAGGATGGACATGTCGTCTGAGGAATGGGAGGGGGAGTTGAAATGGTTCGCGACTGGGAGGTGCAGTTGTTTGTTGCGAACCGAGCGTAAGTGTTCTGCAAAGCGGTCCCCGAGTCTCCGCTTGGTTTCCCCGATGTAGAGGAAGCCACACCGGGTACAGCGGATGCAGTATACCACATTGGCAGATGTGCAGGTGAACATCTGCTTGATGTGGAAAGTCTTCTTGGGGCCTGGGATGGGGGTGAGGGAGGAGGTATGGGGGCAGGTGTAGCACTTCCTGCGGTTGCAGGGAAAAGTGCCGGGTGTGGTGGAGCTGGAGGGGAGTGTGGAGCGGACAAGGGAGTCACGGAGAGAGTTGTCCCTCCGGAAAGCAGATAAAGGTGGGGAGGGAAAGATGTCTTTGGTGGTGGGGTCGGATTGCAGATGGCGGAAGTGTCGGAGGATGATGCGTTGGATCCGGAGGTTGGTGGGGTGGTACGTGAGGACGAGGGGGATTCTTTTTTGGTTTTTATTGCGTGGACGGGGTGTGAGGGATGAGGTGCGGGAGATGTGGGAGACACGGTTGAGGGCGTTCTCGACCACCGAGGAGGGGAAGTTACGGTCCTTGAAAAACGAGGACAACTGAGATGTACGGGAGTGGAATGCCTCATCCTGGGAGCAGATGCGGCGGAGGCGAAGGAATTGGGAATAGGGGATAGCATTTTTGCAGGAAGGTGGGTGGGAGGAGGAGTATTCTAGGTAGCTGTGGGAGTCGGTGGGCTTGAAATGAATATCGGTTTC